TTGCAAATGTGGTGTGACCTACATATGAAATCTGTTGGACACGAATATAAGAACATAACAGCTGATTATCCAGATTAATCTTGCAACAAGGGAAATAGCCAAATAATGCAAGTTATTTTAAACATTGTATCTTTACTTAATCGAATCTTGCTAGTTACAGATCTTATGTTTACAGTAACATCCTTTACTTTAAATGATGGTTTAGCATTAGAAGGGTTTGTGACATGTTTTATTAACCCAGCCACTACTGGTTGTTCATTTTAGTTACAGGGTGGTATAATTGTTATAGTCTAATTAATATAAATGATAGTACCGCAATAGTTAATGTTTTATCCAAAGACATTTAGGAACTTTACTTCACTTACTATTAACCATTATTTATAATGATAGACATGTTCAGACTGCAAAAAGCCATGGCTAATGACATAGAAAGGGGTTTGAGTCAGTAACACAGCCCATACTGAGGAGAGCAAACCCGCTGATGCTTAATGCCCCTGCCATGGCAGTGTCTTCAGGGGAACAGGGGGGGCCTCTAGCTACTGTAATTTTACCCATTGAGGGCCAGCCCACCACTTTCCTAGTTGACACAGGTGCAGCCTGAAGTGTTCTGAGAGAACAAGACCTGCCCGATACCTCATTTCTTTCCAATATTGATGTCTCCTGTGTTGGGGTGGACGGCCTTCCAAGGCAAAGTCCCCTGTCCACCCCTCTGCGGGTTGGTAACTGCCACAACTTGCTTGCTCGCTTTGTGGTATCTTCCACATGCCCCATTAACCTGTTAGGAGCTGATGTTCTTTCACGCCTGCAGGCATCCATCACCTTTACTCCAGATGGACAAGTGGAACTATCCACCCCTCTATCTGTCTCAGACACCTCAGCTTTGTGCTCCTTACCCCTGATGCTACATCTAGAAGAGCCTCATGGGGATGCAAAAGACCTAAGGACTAATTTCCCTGATTCACTAAAGACTGATGTTCCCAAGAAGCTGTGGTCCACAGGCCCAGAGGACATAGGCCATCTAAAGGTCCCGCCTGTGGTGGTAAAGTTCATCCCAGGCGTAAAATTGCCACGAAAATCACAGTATCCTTTGAAACCAGCTCAAGCTGCAGCCATTACAATTCAAATTCAAGCACTCCTGGAGAAGGGTGCTCTTGTCAAATGTGAATCACCATGCAATACTCCATTATTTCCAGTAAAGAAAAAGACTCCAAAAGGCGAACCAGAAAAGTACAGATTGGTCCAAGACCTCAGAGCGGTAAATGAAGCCACAGTTTTGGACACTCCAATAGTGCCCAACCCACACACTCTCCTTTCCGGCGTTCCACCCTCTGCCAAGTACTTCACTGTCATTGATCTGGCCAATGCCTTCTTCAGTGTTCCCCCGGATCCAACTTGCCAATATCTGTTTGCTTTCACACATGAAAAACAACAGTACACATGGACTGTCATGCCCCAAGGGGCACAAAATTCACCAAGTCAATTTGCGAAGGCCATGTGCTCTATCCTTGATCCATGGCAATCTGACCACCCTGAGGTCGTCCTGCTTCAATATGTGGATGATTTGCTGCTTTGTGGAGATGATATACCCACAACAGAACAATGCTCACTTAATATTCTTTGCTACCTAGCAGAACAAGGATGTAAAGCTTCACGTCTCAAGCTGCAATTCTGCCAACCTACTGTTATCTTCCTTGGCCATTGTCTGTCTCAGGGAACCAGACATCTTACCCGTGACCGAGTTAGAGCGGTACTGGACATTCCACCTCCAAGGACCTCGAAGTCACTACACGCCTTCCTAGGCCTCATTTCCTATTGCCGAGCATGGATCCCAGAAGCCTCGCTCCTTATGCAACCTCTTTATGATGCTCTCAAGTCAGACCCATTTTGCTTGTCCACAGAAGCCCTTGACAACTTCTGTTCTCTCAAAAGTGCTATTGCTTCTGCTCCTGCTCTTGGCCTACCAGACTATACCAAACCCTTCAAACTGTTTGTTTCTGAAAGACAAGGCCATGCAACAGGAGTGCTCACTCAGGCCCATGGTCCTGGAGGCCGCCAAAGGCCTATTGGATTTTTCTCCTGCCAACTGGATATTGTGGCCAGAGGACGTCCCTCTTGCCTTCGGGCCGTCTTTGCTGCCAGAGAGCTCATTGAAAGAACTGGAGATCTTGTCCTTGGCCACCCCCTGGTTGTCTTGGCCCCCCCATGACATTTCTGCCATAGTCAACCAGGTCCAACTTAAGCATGTTACTCCTGCTAGGCATCTTCGCCTTCAATGTCATCTTTTGTTGCCTGACAACATTACCCTCCAAAGATGTCAAGTTCTCAATCCGTCCACTCTTCTGCCACTCCCTGAGGGGGGTGTATACTACGGATTCATCATGGACGAAACTGTATACTACGGATTCATCATGGACGAAACTTATGTTTTTCTTCTCACTGGCACCATCAAGAAGGAAATGCATCCCAACCTATCCTTTCATGATGGACAAGCACTCCTTCATGACGGAGCAGGATATGCCTTCTGTACCATGTGGTACAAATCAAACATCACTCCTGAACCCTGCTATGAAGATGAACTCTATCATCTGGTCGAAGTAAAACTCACTGCACAAGACTTCTACTGTGATTCTGAAGGCAACAGTATGGTCTTGATTCATCTACCTCCGGAACTCAAGCATTTGTACCGTCATTGGGACACTGCCATTCCACATGTCCCTGTGACCAAGTTGAAAACAATATCATGGAATGATCTTGGGCCTATGGCAAAAGCATGGGCCACTATGGACGAATCACAGCTACAGGAAAATGGTGTTGTCAAATATCCAACAACTGACCCTAAAAGCATGGCCGCGTCATTTCCTGGAGAATGAGTTCCAAGATTTAACCATAGTGAATGAATACGACCCAGATACACCTCATGACTGTTTTGAACAGATGAAAATGGAAACAACACATCTACCAACTGTGCATGAAGACCCATTGGTAGATCCCGATCTCACCCTGTTTGTGGACGGCTCAAGATATGCTGATGAAGAAGGAAGATACCATACAGGATATGCCGTAACCACAACAGATGAAATTGTCAAATCATCATCTTTACCATCAACTATGTCTGCACAAGAAGCTGAATTGCAAGCCCTGACTTCAGCATGCAAGATCTCTGAAGGAAAGCGCGCCAATATCTACACGGATTCAAGATATGCACTGGGCGTGGCTCACGACTTCGGATTAATTTGGAAAACAAGAGGATTTCTTACCACCACCGGTACACCAATCAAGCACGGTTCCGCGATCAAGGAGCTGATGGACGCCCTCCTACTCCCAGAAGAAGTGGCTATTTTGAAGATAAAAGCACATGGGAAGTTGGACTCAGATGAAGCAAAGGGCAACCATCTAGCTGATCAGGCTGCAAAACAAGCTGCAAAAGAACCACAGGAAGTGGAAAGAAGAGTGTCCGGAAATGAAGAAACTCCCATATTTACTCTGCAGACTCTTCCAACTGACCTGAAAATCCTGCTGGAACAACAGGCTACAGTTGCCCCTGAAGAAATACAGAAGTGGAAACAGAAAGGGGCAGTTCTGAAGGATGGAGTGTACTCCAACAACCTCAATTTCTGCCTCCCTAAGAATTTGTACCCAGCAGTCGTACAATGGGCACACAGACCTGCACATTTATCAAAAGATCTAATGAATGCTCTTGTACAAAAATACTACCTCATTGTCCCCATACGAGATTCTATTTGGGACTACACCTAGGCTAGGTTGCTATTTTCCCCAACAACTGCAACTTCAAACTGATGTTTTAGTAGATTATGTAACTGAACTCGCAAATGCTTTGAACAAAATCCATGCCCAAGTTTTCTCTTCAATTCCAGATCCTGATTCTGACACAGGCAACCACAGTCTGCTCCCCGGTGACTGGGTTCTGGTCAAGAAATTTGTGCGAAAACACACCCTGGAACCAAGATTTGACGGACCGTTCCAAGTTCTCCTGATCTCCCCTACCTCTGTCAAATTGGCCGGAAGGCCTAACTGGATCCACGCTTCCCATTGCAAGAAGACACCTGCCCCAGAGGAAGCTAACTCTATGCAACCATGTGCCTCTGGTACATTATCTCCTTAGTTGGCCTCCTTAAAGCCCAGCAGGTGGCCATCACCAAAGATGCTAGTGGGTACACTTTCTGGTATAATTCATCATGTACCCATGTGGCTACATTCACTTTTGATTACTGTGATATTGTAGAGTGCCCATTCCCTAAGTCACAGATTCAAGCCATTTATAAAGATATACCACAAGCAAAAGACCCTTACGTTTGTGTAGTAGATGAACAATGGGGTTATGACTGTAACTACTGGGGGGCTGCGGGATGGAATACTGGGCCTGCCTGGGGTTATAAACCCAAAAGTGCTTTATCTAAGATAGACAATCAGGGTAGATCCCTCCTTCAAAGAATGACTTTAAGAAAGCCTGGAGGAAGTACCCCTATGAAATTAATGTTAAATATTGAACATCCTGGCCCCGAGGATGCAGACCGATATGTAATGGGAATGTATTGGAAGAAAGGTTCCTACAACAAATTAGGTCATTTCTACCTCAGAGATATGTCCCACTCTCCAGAGTGGCAAGGGGCTGATCATATGGTCCCAAATCCGCTAAAACCACATATCCAGTCCTTTAAAGATATGATGGCCATCGCTAACCCCACTTTTGAAGATACCATGGCCGCTGAAACTGGATTCAATGACATTAATTTGTGGTTAGAATGGATGAGGTATAATGCTAACAAACATAATAAAACAGCATGTTATGTATGTGGCGGTGCCCGACCCCACCTTGGCACCGTCCCCCTAACTCTCCCTTTAGAGATAGAAGATTGCTTCTTAAGCCTTTTGCCTACCAATATGACTTTAATAGGTCCCTCTGCATGGCATGGACGGCAGAATACCCTCTCTTAGTTGAAAATGTTAAGCCACCAGATGGAATCACAGTCTATAGAGGTAATTACACTTGTTATGCCATGTATGACGGGATTGGTAAATTCATGGGTAACTTTTCTAAAGGTTATTGCGCCACTTACAGAACTGTTCCTATACGCCTGTTGCAACACCATACCAGGTCATTGGGGGATATTTACTGGTTATGTGGGGATCTACAGTTAAGATCTAGGCTGGAAACTGAGTGGTGGGGTGAGTGTACCCTGGCCAAAGTTATCATGCCCATTCATATTATTTCTGATAATCATCATGACACATACGACCCTCCACATACATCAGCCAGAGTAAGGCGCGAAACCCCAGTAAAAGGCAGTTTTGACCCACACATTTACATAGATGCCATTGGGGTGCCTAGGGGGGTACCTAATGAATTTAAAGCTAGAGATGAAGTAGCTGCAGGTTTTGAATCACTTTTTACCATAGTCACTGCCAACAAAAACCTTAATTGGATTAATTCTATCTATTACAACCAACAGCGCTTCGTGAACTACACCAGGGATGCCCTCCAGGGCTTGGCCGAGCAATTACAGGCCACATCCCAAATGACCTTCCAGAACAGACTGGCCTTAGACATGATCTTAGCCGAAAAAGGGGAGTCTGTAAAATACTTCCCGACACTATGACTTGTTGCACTTACATTCCAGAAAACACAGGTCCTAATGGTAAAGTCACTCTGGCCATAGCTAAATTAAATAGACTCTCTGAAGAGTTAAAGAGAAACTCTGGAGTTACTGATCCCTGGGAAAAATGGTTTGGTTGGATGACTGGTTGGCAGAGAGCTTTAGTCCAGATTGGTATTGCCTTACTAATTTTTCTTTTTATTCTCGCTCTTCTCATTTGTTGTGTCCTCCCATGCCTAAGGAAATTCCTGCAGAAAACTGTAGACCAAGCAACACCAACCTTCACTCATCTGACAATCGATGATCAAGACCTCATCTCACCCTGTATTCCGCTACAAACTCTCCCTTATACTGATGAAGTGCAGAAAGTCTAGGAAGGGACAGTACAGGGACAGCGTCCGTCTTTATGGGTAGACTGCCGTACGGAGAAGTAGTGGATAAGCCACTATGGGTTACCAGCGGAGTGAAGAGTGTTCCTGAACCGTACTGACGGATGTGCTGCAGCCTGTTAGGGTCAAGAGAGGGATAGACTTGCACTTTGCATTAACACTAAGTCAGCGGTCATGGGGTTTCTGTGTCTTTGGGCTAATACTTCTTCTGATACTAACAAATAAAGTTTTGTCTTTTAGCAAATAACATTTTAGGGGGGACTGTTGTAGAATTATTAGGCCTCTATAAATCTGTAAGGCCCCTTTAAATCCTCTTGCTATACCTCTAAGAGGCCCCCATAGTTTTACAAGAAAGCTTTGTCTATAGAACATAGAATTTGAATGCCAGCAAGAAATAGCTTTGATAAAATGTGTATTTACTAAAAGCCTTGAAACCTAACCTTGAGAAACTAACCGTGCCAGCTACACTCTAAATGGATGGCTGCCAAAGCACCCCTCCCATCGAGTGAACACCTCGTGCTAACAAGATGGCGCCTACATCTTGTGTCCACTCCCGTGTCAAGGATGACATCACCTCTTGATAGGAGGGTACCTAACTAACCACTTAACACCTGGACCAATCAATAGTGTCTATTTGCTGTTATCTTGATTTTCTTCAATGATGTAATAATGCCTTTAAAAGGGTCTGCGCACCCATTTTCTGTCAGAAGCCATTAAACTTCTCTGAAGTTCTTTCATTACCCTGAACTTTGTCTCAGTGTGAATTTACTTCTGCGTGCACGCAACTTTATTATCTTTAATTTGGACAGGAACAGATAGTCATTCAAACTAATTGGTTTGCAGTAAATTATCTACAACAGTGTCAAGTGCTGTGCTGATGGTCCTTGAGAAGCGCTAGGAGCATCCGTTGGCGGAGGTTATCCGTTACACATACTTTAAACCCCTTCATATTTATTCTCATGTACATAATTACTGATACTAGGGCACAATGATTTATGTATTAGAAAAAGTAAATCCAACACTAGCACTGATAAAGGAATGGCATAACCCAGAGTCTTAATCATGAATTGGAAAGGAATATAATAAAAACTTTCAAAGTTTAAAGGGACAGTATAGGCACCCAGACTACGTCATCGCGTTCAAAGTGGTCTGGGTGCAGTGTCCCTGATTTCTTAATCCTGCAATGTAAAAAATGTTTTAAGAGTTTAAGAGAAACTCGTTGCAGTGTTACAACTGATTCTAGTGGCTGTCTAGCAGCCACTAGAGGCAATTCCAGCAGCTTCATAAAGTTTAACTCTGTGAAACGATGTTGGATGTCCTCACACATTTCTAAACATAGTTATTGTAGTTTACAGAAACATTAATGTATTATTGCTGTGAAGCTCTGTTAAACACCCAGACACCAACAGTATGGAGCTTCTAGAAAATATGGACACTTTAATTAAAAAAGAAGATAGACAGAGGGATTTGGGCACAAAATAGACAATGTCCCTCCAAAATAGAGGCACTTGGGAGGAATGTGTATTGTTAGTAATGCGTTTAGGGTCCTAGCATATACCTTTCAGCAAGGTGTTTGACAATTTTTATATATCTATATTTGCCACATCTACTCTATGTGAGAACATTATTTTTTTTGTTATACTAACCTTTCAGGCCCTGTGTGAAATATTGCTAGATAAAGGACCATGTATACTATCTAATGCTATTCATTTCCTATTTTTTTTTTTTTTTTTAATAAAGGATGAATGATTTAAGTAAAACATTCAAATTGTCACGTAATGATGGCCTTCCAGTGGCAAAGCAACTGCAAACCTCTAAAGCTTGTGAATTGAAATAAAGAATTTATAAAAAAAATAGATTTACATAATTAAAAATGTTTTACAATAATTTTAACAGTTTATAAACTATGCATCCCAATCTTCAAAAAATGTCAAGCTCATATTTTTTCTGCCAAAAAGTACTTAATTGTGATATTGAAGTTTAATGCATTAGCACAAGTCATTTGGTAATAACGCTCCAAGAGATTGTGAGCAGTGAAGGTGAACCTGGCATCTAAAATACAAATATGTGTTAAAGGCAAGTTCTGAGCTCCATAACCACTTCATCTCATTGAAGTGATTTTGGTGCCAGCAGACCTCTGGCACTGCATATTTTTCATTGTTTAGCCATTGTCTAAAGTGTCTTAAAAAATGTTGTTTTTTCATAGTTCTTGAAAAAACATTCTAAATATAGTTTTTCTTTCTTTGAAAGAACCAAAAATAATCTTTAAGCATTAACATCAACCATGATGTACTGTTTTTCTTTTTCTTTTGTATTCTTTGCTTGAATGCTTTCTTTCATCATTTTTCTCTTTTTTTATTTTTATTTTTTATTATTACTTAATTTCTATCAGATTTCTATCTCTCATATATATTTTATATTTCTTTCTTCCATCTTGTCTTTAACATTGGCCTTATCAGTAATCTTATTCCCTCATACCTATTTGCATCAATAGTATTTTGCTTCAATCTCTTGTTGCGCCGCTATACATTTTTTTAAGGTATTTTTCTCTATCACTGTTAATTGTGGAAATAATCCAATAACCAAGCTGCAACACAGATGCATCTCTGTCCAGTCCATGCTGAGAGTTCTGGGCTTCCATATCTTAAATGTTAAACATGAAATACAAAGCAGTGAAAAGAAATAGCTAAATAAGTATTTTTGTTCATACTCCTTAATGTCTAATTGCGCAGTGGTACATAAAAAAGATGAACCGAAACAAAAAATAGTGCTCTATTTATAACACAGCAAGAAACAACCTAGTTCTGGTAATTGACAGAAGAGGAAAAATGCTCATTCACAGAACATTATTCACCAATAATGATGATGATCCCATCAAAAATTATTATGCAATAATGTATTATTAATGCAAGAATGTCTGCAAAATTCATTATAGACTAGAGAGTTTAGAGTTATAATGTTTTTTACCGCCTTAACCTGTAACCATAAGTTCGTGCTTGGTACCCCCTCTCAGCATCTTATAAAGTTGTTACGGTGCCCAGAGTGTTCCTATAAACTTACTTTATCTGCCTTTTTTAGTGGATAGTCGGTTCCTTAGAATGCTGAGCCTACATGCACCTGGCATGTAAATCCAACCCTGGTCAACCTGATATTTCACAAGGACCTTCACACCTCTCCAAATCAATGTAGAGGGAAAACCTACAATATGTTTTCACATCCTGTTGAAATATTATGACATCACTGTAAGGAAGACCCCACAGCATTACCCTGTGTTGTATTTCTGGAATTAAAGATTTCTGCTCATGGTTAACAGTACCATATGTAGTACTACTGAGTATTAAATGTTTCTAATCTTCCATGATCCTCCTTAACTTTTTATGTTGGAAAAGGATACAGCAGTGATAATGAAAATGCAAGCATGATTACCAATCTCCTACCGACCACTATCTCTGCACATATTCCTCAATTTATTTGGGTGGGGGATATATCTCGCATCATCTCCTCACAAAATTACCTGGGGAACAATCCCCCCATCCATCCTGGTTCCTATGTCTCTGCTAGATACCTAATTAATAAGTGAAATTGTACATATGAACAAATATATGGCTATTGCACTAACAATTTTTTTTATCAATTTTCAGCACAGCAGAGAGCCTACCAATCTGAATAGAACATTACAACTGCATCATAGTTCTACTCTCAGCAATCACACTGCAATTACTGGCCTCAAATACAAAAGGATATTATAAAACAAGAAATATAAAAAGTGCAAAAAGACAATGTAGTATTAATGGCACCTTAATGTCAAATACTACAGATGAAAGGGACCTCAGAGTCATTATTTCAGCAGACTTAAAAGCAGGAAATATCTGTAACAAAGCAACCAAGAGAACCAGCAGGATGCCAGAATGAAAGGGAAATGTATCAGCAGCAGGGGGAATGGAAAGGAGGCTATTTTATCAATGGCTAAGACATCATCTTAGATAATTTATCATGATGTGAAGATCATACAAGTATAAAGATCTTCTACAAACTGAGCTAAAATATAACTTTGTCCCGAAAATAAGACCATAATGGAAAACATGTCATAGAACATTCCATCCATCCATCCATCCAAGCAAAATAAGGCTGGGTGTCAGTCCATTTGATTGTTACCCATATATGGGCCTATAAAAAATAATTTAGAAATTAGCAGTCTTTTGCAGGAAATCTAAAAATGAGCTTTGCTGCTTCTCATTTGTTCATCTCAGATGGCATTCTAAAAGTATTTAGTAAACACAAGCCTTTTACAACTATTGTGACAGTTAAAAAAACAAAAAAACAGAAAACACTTCTTTATGACAAGCACATTTTGCTTAGAGTGCTACTGTAAGGGGGTGAGTGGTATTGTTTAGGGCTAAAGTAATTGATGTGGGATTTTCTAATAGAGGATATATTCAGGGCAGGTACTCTCCCTTTAATCCCTTAAGGACCAAACTTCTGGAATAAAAGGGAATCATGACATGTCACACATGTCATTAAATCAACTCATGTGTTGGTATGCAAGCAGTTCTGTAACAGTGGATATTAAAGAAGGGGTTTGCTGTTTGACATATGTGGGGATCTTAGCTGACTTCAGCTGGTTTTCTGCATTTTTTTATTAAATGTGAAAAAGTCTTGTGTAGACTTTTGCGATCTACCAGTA